TTAACCAGCTGCCAGATCGATCCTTCCAGTAGGTACATTAGAACATGACTTTCTTTCCTTTAATCATCTAATGTCTCCTATTATCACTCAAGGTCAATGCCCAAGACCTAAAAATAGCTACAAGGTGATCAGAACATTTGCTATGTCACTCACCCAGAGGTCTACAATGTTCATTCCTTTCCATAGCTCCAATGACAGCAGCCTAAGTCTTTCATGCCCTCCACCTGTCTAGTCTCTTCACTGACATTCTGATGGCTTACTTGATCACCTCCTTCAGTTATCATTGTGAGTGAGGGCCTTTCATTTCCCACCACCTCCTAGCTCTTTATCCTCACTCATTTCTTGCCACCACATATAACCATCTGATTGCACATTTACTTGCTTCTTATATGTCTCATCCTTTGAGATTATAAACAGAGGGAAGACAGACAATATGTCTGTTTGGAGCACCATTGTATCTCTGATCCCCCTAATGGCACTTGTTATATAGTGTAATATATGAATACAGAACAAATATTTCTATATTTTATAGCAGTAATATTGCATTAGAACATAATAAGAATTTCAGGTGTGCTCCACTGAAAGTCAACATGTATATATACTACATTAAGTTTACCTCTAAAAATTCATGAATAATTTTAAACCAGTGGTTTACAATGTGGACTATTTAGCATTATATTGATACCACTCAGAGAATCATTGTCATGTAGTTTCTGACAAGCAGTTCTTGCTGAGCTGTATTGGATTGAAAACAAGGGCTGCAAATTAGGTAAATGACTGTTTTACAGCAGCAATAAGAATATTTAGGGATGCCCTCCCTGGTGGCACAATAGGTTGAAGCACAGCACTATAAAACTAGTAGCAGCCACTTCAGCAAAGCATGGGATTATCCACATGGCACAGCAGACCTCTCCTGTCTTGCCGGCTGCTCCCCTCAGCAGTGCATTTCATCACTCTGCAGTGCATTTCATCAAGCTGCTTATTCTGCTCCCCACTCTTTTCTCTGGTGAATCCTCTCACTGCCCCTGTGCATCTGGCCTGTACCCCAATTCTGTATACATAAATAAATCTTAAAAAAAAAAAAAAAAGGAATATTTAGAGAAGGGAGAGAGTGGAGGTTCCGTGGAGATTTGTCGAGTAGCTGTTTTGCTACTCTAGACTAGTTATTGGGGTCTCATTAATGTGATGACAAATATACCATGAAAAGGGGAACACACATATTTTGCAAGTAGATTCAGCTAAATATGAGATAATTGCTGGAAAATTAGGATGGGGTGAGGTAAAGGAAAAGATTTAAGAAATGATGTTGGAAGAGTAAATGATGTGAGTAAATCCAATGGATATCTTCAGTGAAAAGACATCAAGAAAAAAAAGATTGGAGTTTGGCTTTAGCATGCTTACTTTGAAGTGCTACCTAAGGTGAATGGCAGAGGACATTAATCAAACATTGATTTGGAAGTGATTTGTTGAGAGAAGACATTTGACACCATGGAAGTGGGAATAAAGTGCTCTCAAAAACTGCTGATGGAAAAGAGATAGAACCCAGAAGTCTGTGTAACACTGACATTCAAGCAGGTTTTGTGGACTATGAGCCAGTGAAAGGTAGAGCAAAAAAAGAAAATATTCACCGTGCTAAGAGAGCATAGAGGTCAAAGGAGAAAGAATTCTGAGAAAAAAAGACTAAGTATCAAATACCAGAAGGATCGAGGAGTTGAGACTGAGGCCTCACTACCATACCCATTTGCTCTGGAAAATGCCTCTTGCCATCCAAACTGCTCTTCAGTGGTCTCCAGCTTGCTAATTTTAACAGTTAACCTTTTAGTCTTCTACTTGACTAATTATCTCATCTTCTCTCCTCCTTGAGAGAAGAGATATCTAGTTTTCTTGGTGTCTACAACACCGAACACACACCATTTTTCTTTGCCTCGCTGGTAGTACCTTCTTTTGTTTGTTATATTGGTACCTTCTCATTTCCCCATCTCCTAAATGCTGGTGTGCCTCAGAGTTCACAGTTTCTTAGGCTATTTCTCTTTTCTGTCCACACTTATGCCTCTGGTTGTACCAACCATTGGTTTTAATAAATCCACTAGTTTTAAATATATCCTCTGTCTGACTCCCACATCTGCAACTCCAGCTAGGATACCCTCCCTGAAATTGACACTCAGATATCCAATTGCCTCCCTGAAATCTGCTTTTATATACTTGATGGGCAGTTCACCCTGTTTGTCCAAATCTGAACCCATGAGATTTCCCCCAGAACATGTCTTCTTTCTCAGAACATTGGCAATACAAACTCTTGATGAGGCTAAAACACTGGAGTAATCACTGAGTGTCAATTCCATCTTTAAAGTAGATCCAGAATTCATCTGCTATCTTGTGACTACTGTAACACACAGCTTCAGGAGGAAGCACACATGTTTTGGTTGATGTGAACAGTGCTCCCCACACAGTATAGAGTATAGCTTACAAGATAATATGTTTTGGCTCTGCTAACATCTTAGCTGAAACCATCAGTTCAAACCTAGATTACTATAATACCTTTCTAACTGATTTCCCTATTTCTAACTTTGTCTACTGTCTATTTTCAACATGATAATCAAACTAAATTTAAGAGAGTCAGATCCCCATCCTATCTAGAACCTTCTAGTGGTATCTCAACTCAATTAGTGTAAAAGGCAGAGTCCTTACAATTATCTGTGAAGTTTAATCTGCTCTCTTTCCCCTGACCTATTCCATTTTGCTCATTTTCTTCCAGTGACTATGGTGTGGTTTCTTTAACATTCTGGATAAACAATTACTTTGGTACCTTTCTACCTGCTATTCCAATTGTATGGTTAGATTCCTTGTATCCTTCAGGTCTTTGCATTCAAATTATCAGGAGTTCTCTATTTTGCATCTCCTGCCTTCCCTGTAATTCCTTTCTCTATTTCCTGCCTTATTTTTTCCTTAGTAGTCACCACTAGATTTATCCTGATTATTTTGAATTTCCCATAGTAGAATGTAAGCCCCGTGAAGCCAATACTTTTTGTCTGTTTTCTAACTGCTAGAAACCCAGGACCCTAAACATTTCCCAGCATACAGAAGCATGTAATTGTGTACAACTACTTTTTTTCCCCATGTTCACCTTTTGAAACCAAAGTTTGTTCAGTGTGTAAAGAACTTGACTGTTGTGGGGATGGTTTCAGAGGAGAGTTGGCAGAAATAAAATTAGGTTAAAAAATGTGGGAAGTTGGAAAGGGAGTGGGGACCTTACTCCTAAAATATAAACAATGATGTGTAACTTAACTTTTAGGATGTAGTTTAAAGAAATTAGACTCATTGTTATGTTCCTGCCTCTTTGCTTTGTGGTTTGATTTAAAAATTCATGGAATATGAGATTTAGAAGCGATTTTAGTGAACACCCTTCCTTTATAGATAAGGAAGTTCTCCTTCTGTCTCAGCTGCATTGGCATAGCTCTAAATTATTCACTGTGACATGGTTCATTTAGCTCCCTTATGTTAACATAGGATGGATGTAATCCTGGAATGCGGAAACTGGCAGTAAGGTAGGGCAAATCCTTTTGCATAAAAAAAAGTCCAATGGAATTAAGCTCTCCTACCCAAATGTTTTTAAACAAAGACAATGTTCATTATTTTATAATCAAATACATCTAAAACATAAACAACACTTTTCCACTTTTATTAGCTATTCCCACTTAGCTGACTTAAGACACTCTTCCTCATTTAAAAAAAATACTGATGAGTTCATGTACAAAGGGATCTTGACAGGGAAGTGAATTCTTTTCAAGCCAAAAGATAGAGTTTAATCTGCAGCTCTCTTCAGCACATAAAGCAAAAGAATGGGCCAAATAAAGAGCTAATGAAGTTAGTCTTATTCATTTTATTTTAAAATTTACCTTTGCCAAAGTAAGAAGTGGGTTAATTTTTTTAAAAAGTTAGTCTGTAATGGTTCCAAAGTTTAAATTCTTTAATATTGTGTTGGACATGGGGTTGAAGTGGATAATTGTTTCTGTCTGTTTTAGTCAATCCGTTTCCTCCTCCAAACAGAGAATCAAGACATTTTGGGTGGAGAAACCGCAATCATGTGCTTCACTAGATTTGCATTTATAAATATTAAATTCTGGGCAAAACTAAGAATCACCACTTAGTACATGCATACTAAGAAAATAGGTGGTCCAAAAGCATTGCCAAATGTAAGGAAAACCGAACACAGAGGTAAAAACTGGTTAATGATAAAGCAGATCAGAGAATTTATCTGTTTATTATTTTTTTTTAAAACCAAAGGGAATTAGAAAACACATTCTTGTTTTCATTTTCCAGAGAAACTAAAGCATACATGAAAAGGATGATGCTACATTACTAGTTCTATGTGTAAATATTAGCTGTTGATTGAAACAGCTTGTAACAACTTTTATATCCAAATTAATGAGCCAAGGCTCTAAGGTAACTGTGGAAGGTTAATCTTTTATTTCTGATTAATCTGAAAGCAAATACTTTATGTTAGAGATACTTTATATTAGAGATCTAAAACTGAATTTCTTAACAGGAAGATGATCCTTCTCCCCCATATATTTTTCTTTACCTCACCTTAAGTTTGTTCATGAAAAAATAATTTTTTACATATTCATATAGTAAACAACAAATGAAATGTGAGAAACATAAGAACAAATGCTTTACTGAAAATTTTATTCCAAAAATAGAAATTTAAAATGCCAAAAAATAAAAGAAAAAAAAAATTAGAACAAGTTCAAGTCACAGGGAAATCAAAATGATTACAGTCTCTAGTTTTGGGGGGAAAATATAACCTTCCTCAGCTTTGAGTTTTATGTTTACTAAAAAGAAATACAAGTGTGCATAGTTAGATGCTCCATTGTCTCTTTCAGAATTCATTCTATAATTCTGTAAAACTCAAGGCTGAAATAATTTTTAATTTTTAAAAAGTAAGGAAGAACTATTCCTCACTGGCTATAAGTAAAAATTTTACAGAATTATTCACTTACCAGAAGACCATCTTGATTTTCATGGAGCTCAGAAAGTTTGGTACTGGATTTCTGACGTTTGGATTTGCCGCTTTCTCCAATAAAACCAGAAGAATTTTCATGTAGTTTTTCCATGTCCTGAGCATTCAACATACAATTATCAAGGTTGCTGAATCCAGAAGGAATATTTTCTTTGTTGACAAGTCCCCTTGAATTGAAAAAAGAAATGATAGCTTAATTTCATTTTAAAAGGTAAAAAGGATATTTTCATGACATTGCCACTGCATCACACAGGAAGTTTGACGAGTGCCTAGAAATTGTTTGCGTCTTTGATCAAAATCTTAGCAGAGTGCAACTCCCAAGACTACTTGGTGCCAAACAAGTCCCATTAAAAGATAATTTATTCCTAGAAGCAAATTGGCAAGGGTTGTGTTTCTACCAATGAACAGCTTTTGTATTTGTACTCAGCGTAATTTGTATTCAAACAGAGAGAACGCGCAAGCTTACAAAGAAATTTGCCATTATTCACAGATTGCACATATACACATATAATCCTGCACAGATAAGTTATGTTAATACACTGTAAAGTCTGAAAAGAAAACATGATGTCTTTTTATCTAGAATGGGACATAATGATTTTCCTAAATGATAAAGACAATGTAGCATGGTAGAAATGCATTAATACCTAAGTCACCTCAGTAGACACAGTACAAATCAATAAAAATTACAGAATACATTGAACTTTTTTTCTAAAGATTTATTTATTTATGCATACATACAGAGCTGGGGTAGAGGCCAGAGGTGCGGGGGTGGTGAGAGGACTCACCAGAGTGAGTGGGGAGCAGAACTGACAGAAGTACACTGCTGAGGGGAGCAGTGCAAGAGACAGGAGAAGTCTGCTGCGCCATGTGGGTCACCTCCCTGGCAGGGGATCGAACTCCTGCTGAAGCTGCTGCTAGCTTTAAAGTGTTGTGCTTTACCCTTGTGGCACCAGGCAGGGCCCAAGCATACACTGCACTTTAACTGAAAGATGATTCATAATTTTCCACTATGAGGAATTTTAGGATATAAACTTCCAACTGGAGACTATGAATGTCTTAGGTTTGGAAGTAAATATGAATATCATAATTATAGAATTTCACGGCCATTCAGGCGGGGGTTTAATTTGGTAGAACGGGTGCCCTCAGAGGAGAGGACGCACACAGCAAGAGGAGATGGGAGGACACAGTCAAAGGGACCAGGCTTAGCAGAAACCAGCCTTGTCAAGCACCTTCATTCTGACTTCGTGCCCCCAGAACTGTGAGAATAGAAACTTCTGTTGCTTAAGCTATCCAGCCTATGGTACTTTGTCATGGCAGTATGAGCAGAACAATACAAAAGTTAAACTTGGTTTTAGAAACGAAAAGACAAAATTTATTTTATAATCTTTCAATAGTGAGTGAGTGACTGGAATAAGTTATGTTCAATCATATACATGAAAATCTGCTTGTGTAATTGTTGTCCTCAAAGGAAGGTCTCTGCTAACCTCGGAGCCAGTGCCTCTGGCCACAGGACCTACATTATGGTGAGAAGCAGTGCACACACTTCCTGCAGCTCTTCTGACACATTTCACTCATAACTGATGGTACTTAGATTTGGCCTGAAATTTGGTATCTGTGACCTTTCACTTTATAGAAATGTATTTTTAATTTTTTTCACTTTCCTCCTTATCCCTACATATACACTTAGTGTCCTAGCCATAGTGAACTATTATTCCTCTACCATGACATTTTTTTTCCTTTTTCCTTTGCAGAGGAAATTAATATGAAGTACAAATAATTAAGAAACCATATAATTTTCCAGCTCATGGTGTTTTGGAAGATTAAAATAATTTTTATATAAATGATACTCTACTTTTGAAAAAAAAATTCTGATGAAATTTGCAAACCTACAGAAATATAGAGAGCCCCACAATGAACTTTCATTAAAAGGACAGTTAGGGGGCCCTCCCTGGTGGCGCAGCAGGTTAAAGTCCAGCACTGAGAAGCTAAAACCACTTCCGCATGAGTTCGATTCC